CCGGCAATGCCAGGCATGCTATGACCTCCAATGCAAATGCCACCCGGCATGATGCAAGGTATGCCACGAATGCCACCAGACATGATGATGCCGCCTGGAATGATGCCAGGAGCACCAATGCCTGGAATGCACGGAATGCCACCATCGACATCGGCAGCGACACCGGCTCCACCAGCTCAAAGTGAGTTTTCTAGAGAATTTCAATAGAGCGAACTTTCAATTTTTAACTCTTCACTTTTTCAGATCCCACACTAATGGTCGCCGGAAACCAACGCGCTGGAGGCGCCTCAGACGCTGCTAACCCTAATGGAATGCCTCCTGCCCATCCAATGTGGACACTGACGCCTCACTATCCCCCACCACTGCCACCATCGAACGCGACGCCCATGATGTTCCCAATGGGCGGTCCGCCGACGGCGCCATAATTTTTTTTCTTGTTGAATGATTTTCAAATTGCCCCGTTCTAACCCATTCATCTTCTTGTGAAATGATCCTATTTGTATACACTTAAACCCCTTAAAACTCACACCGGATAGTCTTAGCTTTGGGGTTTTTCAGACCCAAACTACGCTGAAAACAGAAAATTCTCAATAGTATTTGAGAAGCAAATTCATTCGAATTCCTCCTCCCCACTCATTAAAAATTGTAACCCATTTTCGTTTACCGGTATCACCCATCATGAAACTATTTCTCACCTTTTTTCTCCTCTCTCTCTCTCATACCCATCGCCAAATTTTGAGCTTCCCCCCGACACTCCCTTTTTGCATTTTTTACTCTCTCCCACCCGATTTTGAAATTCTCGCCGAAAATTGAGATAAACAGCATCTAATCCTTATTTAATACAATCTACAATTCATTACACACTAATAGCAATCGACCGGTAAAAAGTCACATTTAGAACGAAAAAAAGCTCTTTTTTTAAAAGAAGACGAAAAAAATGAGAAAGATCAATCCGGACCCAATTAGCAGATTTAGTTGGAGTACTCCTTGTTGAGAGCACGGCCAATGATCAAACGACGGACTTCTGAAGTACCGGCGCCGATTTCGTAGAGTTTGGCGTCGCGGAGAAGACGCCCGGCTGGGTAGTCGTTGATGTATCCGTTGCCACCGAGGATTTGAATGGCGTCAAGACACACTTGAGTGCATTTCTCGGCGACGTAAAGGATCACACCAGCACAATCCTTGTTGGAGATGTTTCCTTTGTCGGCTGCCTTGGCAACCATGTAGAGGTAGGAACGGGAAGCATTGAGCGTTGTGTACATGTCGGCGAGCTTTCCTTGGAGGAGCTGAAAGAATTTCGCTCGTTTTTTTCTCGCCATTTGGTACTTTTTTTCGTAAAAATTGTACGAAATTTTTTCCTTTTTTTTTTCTGCGTCTCTCGTTCCGGCGAACTATTTTTTCGTTTCGTGCATACACCGCACGCGCAATTGCGTATTTTTGTCTACAGTAACCCGCAAAAAACTTGGTTTGTTTAAAATATCGACTTTTGACATCTAAAAGAAGCATAAATAAAGCATTTTTGTAAATTTCGAGGCATTTAATGTCGAAAAATTCGTTAAATTTGTTAGCAAGGAATCTTAACATGTATTGTCGAATTAAAAAAAAAGTGGGACCTGAAAATTTGAAAGACGTAGCTTTTTTTGATCTACGAAAAAGTGCGGCAAAAACTTAATATTTCAGTTTTTCGCCTCGTTCGAGCTACTTTCGCAATCAAGTTCGGTTTTTTGATGAAAAACAGATTCTAAAGATAGCGATCATATTCCTACCAAATAATTAAATTTTGTTAAGAAAATCCCACTAAATTCACTGAAATAAGTTTCGTATACTACCGTAGTGTTTCTGGGGCAAGGCCTCGAAAATTGACCGGGAACCGCTCGCGAAATTTTCCAGGTCCCACTTTTTTTAATTCTACAATAAGAACTCTAGGCTCCAGTCTAATTGGCGAAATGCCAGGATTTTTGCAACATTACACTGAATCAAGCAGCTGTTTTGATATCTTTCGTGTTCAAAAAAAAGATGATAGGATATCAAAAGGTGCCGAATGAGCAAAAATTGTGTTCAAGAAAGCCGAAGAAATTGTTTTTCGAGTTCTAAGTAAGTCACCTGGAAAGATCCAATTTTCTGTCCGAAAGCAGTTCTCTGATGGGCATAATCAAAAGCGATATCACACGCGGCTTGCATCAATCCCAATGGTCCTCCCGACAGAACCAATCTCTCGTAGTCCAACCCAGTCATCAACACGTAGACTCCCTTTCCAACTCCTCCCATAATTTGGCTTTCGTGAATTTCGCAGTTATCAAAGACCAGCTCACAAGTGTTCGATCCACGCATTCCCAATTTGTCGAGTTTTGGTGATTGTGTGAATCCTGGAGTGTTCTTCTCAACCAGGAAACAAGTGATTCCGTGTTGATGCTTGGATGGGTCAGTCTTGGCGTAGACCACAAGAACGTCGGCGTCGGGTCCATTGGTAATCCAGAACTTTGTTCCATTCAGAATATACTTGTCTCCCTTCTTCTCAGCACGCAACTTCATACTAACGACATCGGAACCAGCTTGAGCCTCGGACATGGCCAAAGCGCCCATGTGTTCTCCAGAGATCAATTTTGGAAGATACTTCTGTTTCTGCTCTTTAGATCCATTACGGCAGATTTGATTGACGCAAAGATTCGAGTGAGCTCCGTAGGAAAGAGCGATTCCTCCGGCGGCACGGGACAACTCCTCCATTGCGATGACGTGCGAGAAGTAGTTCATCGCGGAGCCACCGTACTCAGCTGGAGCAGTGATTCCAAGGAGTCCTTGATCTCCAAGCTTCTTCCAGAACGGCCGCAGTTGGTCCCATCCGTTGTCCTTGTCGATTTTGTCGGCGAACGGGGCGAGCTCCTTGTCGGCGAATTGACGGATCGATTGGCGGAGCTGGAAAGGATCAGAGATTAGAAAAAAAAAAGAATTTTGCAGTTTTTTTTCCGGAACTTGTTTTGAAAAAATAATTATTATTGGTCGGAATCTTTTTTTAAATGCAATTTACCGTAATACTACAGTAAAAATTAAAATTAACGTTGGTCTCGACGAGAAAGCTGAAAATCCCACTGCAGAGTCGTTAAATACCTGAATTCCATCGGAAAAAACGCGGGAAAACTATTTTTCAAAAAAGATTCCGGCAAAAAAACCTTATGGCATGGTATTTTTCAAAAAAATTAGACTTCTGCTCAACTTACAGCAATCTCCTCGTCATTAAGACCGAACATGGAGTCATCGATAGGATGGGCCGAGAATTGACGAGCCTGAAGTGCCGCCCGTCCTCCGACGACACATTTCGAGAGGAGCTTCGATGCCAATGCGGACATGATGGGCCAAGAGAGACTCTGAAAAGTGAGGAGAAAAATTTCAAAGAGATGGGCGGGACGAAGTTATCTCTAGACGATCTTTTCGCGTATGTGTGTACTAATAGGGAAACTAATAGGGAGAAACGAAGATAAGGGAGTTTTTGCCCTTTTGAAAAAAAGGGTCTTTTCTCATTATTTCGGTTAAGGAAAAAACTAAAAGAGAAAGCGAGAGATAGAGAAAAGACGAAAAAATGGCGGAGTAAATAGAGTTTGAAAAGATAAAAAAAGAGACGAGGAAGGGCGGAGCAAAATGACTGTTTGTCAAGCTAGCAGCAGCCAACACACGTGGCGGAGCCCCCACGAGGTGTCTCGTTTCCATTGGCATGACGGGTAAAGGGTGATCAGTGATCTGATGGAAGTTCCATCACTGATATAGTTCAGAACTCATATGGCATGCCAGATGAGTAAATGACAGAGTTTCTACAGGAAATTTGAATTTAGTTCAATTTCCAGGATCAAAAGTTCAACTTTTTCTATAGACTTTCAAAACTTAGAGTTCTGTAGGCGAACAAAATTCAAAGCACACACTCTAGTTTACACCTATGGTGACGGGTGAGGGTGGTCAATGATTATTGATGGGTGGTCATTGATATAGCGTTCAAAAGTTCGTTAGATCGAAAAATCTTTTTTACATAATTTAAAAATTCCGGGCCGGGCCTGAAAACATTTTCAAAGCCCGGGCCCGGCCCGGAAGACCCGGTATCAAAAATTCTGTATTTTTGAGCTCTCAATATAATTTTCTCCATTTTTTATATTTTTTTGGATTGTTTGTCTGTTTGATTTAAAAAGATCGAAAAAACTCGAAAAAAATCACATAAGGGTCCCCCCTTATGTGTTTTTTGAAATTTTCAAAACTTGTGAAATGACGGGCCCGGCCCGGCCCGTTACAAGTATGCTTTTTTGGAAGCTTTTAGGCAAATGCATGTTCGGAATGACGAAAACTTAGATTTTCAAATTTTTGGAATTTTCGGAATATTCTGAATTTTTCAAAATCCAAATTCCAAAGTTGAAATCCCACTTTCACATCACAGAATCGCGAAAAATTGGTGAAAAATTGACAAAAACGAAAAAAAATTTTTTCGTTATTCCGCTCGAGACCCGCAAACAAACTTTTTCCGTGCGCCTTTGACATACTGTACTTGAAGGAGCTCGAATTCCGAAAAAAAGCTTCGGAAATAAAAATGGTCAGAATTCCGTTGCCAAAATTCCTAAAACGATGGAACAAGGAATAAGAATTCGCCAATATTCTAGAAAATCCATTTCTTCAATCGAAAAACACTGATTTCGCTGAAACGAAAATTTTAAAGCCAGAATCCAATTCTAGCTTTAAAACGACGCTCCTCCCTCTACCAGACCCCTACCCCTTATATAGCAACCCAAAGCGACCATAGACTAGTCTATAAACTATTGATATGGAAATCATGGGATCGGTTTCAAATAATTTGCAAAATCTTGCAAAATCCGTGGTCTTTAGCCGGAATTTGCAAGCTGAAGCTCATTCATCGACAGAAAAGATCCCTTTTTTGTAGAAACTGTATTTTTAAGATTTTCTGATTTTATAATTTAAGGTTTTTTATTTAAAAAAAACAGTCGCTGACTAGAGAACAATTCTAGTCTAGACAAGCCTCTTTACATATGGAAATGAGGCTTATCGTTGGTCGATCGACGAGCAAAAATCGACTGAATTCAATTTCTAATCGAATCTATACAATATATTCTTTACGAAAAATAGAAGACAATTGTGCTTTTTTTTGTTGCTGGTGTAAAGCGCTGTGACGCATTGCGAAGACGAACGAAATTGCATGAGGAAGTAGTTTTTGAAGAGAAATGAGAAAAAAGAACAAAGATTTTTGAGTTTTGAGCTCAAAATGTTGAGTTTTGTGCTTGGAAAAATGTGGATTTAAAAAAAAATGCAAAAAAATAAATTAAATTTCGGGCTACGGTAGACGATGGCGTCATATGTTACGACATCTTGCACAGAAAAATTCTCTGAATTTTTTCTCACAATTTTAGAGAACTTTTCTCTTGAATTTAAAGATAAAAATATCGAATTACGTCGGCGAAGTTTATGTTGCGAATTTTTTTTCTTATCAAAAGTACTGATAAGGATTCTAGAAGAAGTCGACACAAACAGCTGCCGAAAAAAAAAGGAAAAAGAACGTTCCTCGCTGCCAATTACGTTTTGAAGCAAGGGACAGACAAAAAACTTGTTTATAATAAAGTTAAGTAGCAAAAGTTGATGGCAAAAACAACATGACTAGAAGCGAATGAATTGGTGGAGCGATGGGAAGGAATATGCACATAAAATGGGGTGATTTCAGTTGGATGATAAGTGAAATTTTCAGAGAAAGGCAAAGGTCATTTTAGTTAGTTTTCCGGCTGAACTGGAGGCTCTTGCTCCTTGATAGAGCTCTTCTTTTTGTAAGTCTCCCGAGCGATTTGACGCTGAAGTTTCGTGAGTCGCTCCAGAAGCTCGTCCAGCTTCTGATGGGTGTTATTGACACGAATCGTCGAATCATTCAGTTTTCCGACATACGGAAGTAAGTCAACGGGCTGTTTGTACTCGCTCAAGTCACGGAGGTACTGGAAAATTAACTTTTGATTTTTGAAGTCTATACTTTCGAAACATTAAAAAAATCACCTCCGCCATAATTTCACAATCAGAATTCAGCTTCTTTTGAGACTGCTGCGTTGCCAGAATCTGTTGTTCCAGCTTTGTAATCGATTTAGAGAGAGTCCCTAGCAAAAGGTCGCCGGAATTAATCGATACTTCACCTCCAGCACTCGACGACATCATGATGGATTTGGAAAATACTAAAAAAAAACGATTAAAACGACAGGGAGAAGGAAAAATGACTCCGAAAATGGTGGGAAAGTCGGGGACAAATAAAGTAGCAGTTGATCCGATTAAACGGAGAGTGTACTTGTGACTCACTTCAGAGAGTCAAAATTTGAAAAAAACTGACTTATTTGAAATTGCTTAGTTGAATATAAGCTATTAAAACGATCAGAATGGCTTTTTAAAATCGAAAAAATCCTGAAATTCGATGAAAAAACAATTTTCATGTGAGGTACTGTGTACAATCGTGTGCAAACACCACGACGCACAATTGCAGACAGAGAAACATTCGAATTTTAGTTCACCTTTTGCTGTTCTAGAAATCAATAGAGTGGTCAAATGACATCTTTTAGCTGTTTTTTGGACTCTCATTCTATCGCTATCTCATTTTGTCGTCGTTGATTTTCTTTTTCTTCTCTGATTTATTGATTTTCTCCTGTTTTAGTCGACACCAAGAAAATGTACGCTGACGAAGTCGAAAAGGAGCGATCCCGTGGCGGTTTCAAGAAGAGCTTCAGCAGCGGATCTCGCGCAGGAATCGATGGAAAATGGAAGCGGGACATGTTCCAGACGGCGAATCGACCACAAAAAGCTAGCTACACAAACAAAAGCCGACAGACGAGCTTTTTGAGCAAAGCGGGAGCTGCGGCGGCTGCTGTAGGTGGTGGCGCTGCCCCCAGAAGCATCACAACGGCGTCGATTCGTGGAAGAAATGCTCCAGTAGTAAAGAAGGAGGTTCCAACTGGACCATCCACACTTTTCATCAGTAACTTGGCATCGTCGGTGACACAGGTAAGCGATGAGTCGTCGAGAAGCACGAGAGAATAAAAATTACAATTTTCAGGAAGACCTCGAAGAGCTGTTCGACCAGTATCATCCAGAAGTCGTGCAACTTCACTTTGATTCTGCTGGAGCCAGTCTCGGAACCGCTGACCTCGTCGTTCCTCAACCACAAGTGGCATTGATTCAGAAGGCGTTGGAAGGTGTTCTTCTCGACGGACAGCAGATTGAGGTGCTCGAGACGAACGTCGCCAAGCCGGTTTCCGTTTTCGATCGTATCAAGAAGGTTAGTTTTGAGGAATTAAAGGGTTCGGATACGGTCAGCGGTCGATCTGTGGTTTGTCGACTTTCAACTGACCGAAATGGAATCCTAATTTTCGACCCCTTTTTTTACGTTTTCCTGATGTTCCAGAAGCTTTTTGTTCCAGCTAAATCTCATTTGTTTATCGCTAATCTCTCACGTCAGAACCACAATTTTCCAGACAGACAACAAATTATTTTCTCTGAAAAACAGCACCAAAAACCAATCAATTCCCTTTTCCAGGTCTCTCGCCAGAACGACTTCAAGCCAAAAATGCGCGTCGTCGTCGGAAACCGAGGAAGAGTGGTGAAGGGAGGACGTGGATTCTGAAGTCGCCATAAAAAGGATCTAATTGCGATCTATTTCTGTTTTGATAATAATCTGAAATTCCATTTATATTACTCTCGAAACTCTGAAATCTCTCTTTGTCCCTCCCCTTCCATTTTCTTTGTCCCTCTTTGCAAAAAAAAATTCCAAAGGTCTGAAATTTGCTTTCTTTTGCTCTTTTACATATGTTTTTGTTGGTTTTAATCAAGAAGCACAATTTCGAATATAATAAAACGAGATTTATTGGAAGAAGGCTCTTAAAATTATTATTAGGTTAGACTATTTTAATTGAAAATGTGTGACGTTTATGGGAGAAGAAAGAAGCGATGGGAAAAAAGGGAAATTCTAGAAAAATATGAGAATCGAAGTAAAGGGAGAGAGAATTACACGACTAGAGGCAGTGTTTTGAGTAAATATTTTTGCATTTTTTGGGAAATTTTTGGGTCTCGAGTGGAAAAAAAATTTGGAGAAAAGTGGGGAAAATGGAGGGAAAACACCGTTTCATCAGGGGGGGGGGGAGAGAAATTAAATTAAAATTGGTAAAAAAATGGAGGTGCGAGAGAGTGTGTTCAATTGAGAGACGCAGGTGGCGAATTTTAAATTTTGCGATGAAGCGCGTGGTAAAAAGCAAAGTTCTTGAAACGAAAAGAGTTTTTCAAATGAAAAAAAGCAAATTATCGACTTTTCGAGAATTTCGGTCCCTCAGCTTCTAGTGATTGAACTTGTTGACGATGAGAAGAGCAAAGGCGAGAAGAGCAGCCGAGATGAGAGCGGAGCACGTGGAACACCTGCAAGAATATGAATACATGGAGAGGATAATTATGGGGGAGACAATGGAAATAGGGGTACTTCCGGAAGAGGAAGGCTAATTACTCAATGTATATTTCGAACAGATTGTTTCTCTTTTGGTGGGGGCACTTTGGGTGTCAAGTGGGGTGAAAATGCTCAGGGAAATAGAGGAAGTGTGGGAAAGCATGCATTATATTTGTATTACCGTAAAACCTCTAATAGAATGACACCCGGATCGTCCATTTTGAGCCTATATATCTCACTTCTTTTGAAAGATATTAAAAAGTGGTTAACTAGTAAAATGTTTATCAGGATATCAGCAACATTTTACTAGTTAGCCACTTTTTGATATCTTTCACAGAAAATGAGATATATAGGGTCAAAGTGGACGATCCGGGTGTCGTTCTATTAGAGGTTTTACGGTACGTTGATAAGAAAGTTTCTTTCTTTTTGGCAGAGTTGTTTTTGAGGATCGATATCTGACGCTCCAAGTGGTTTAGCGGGCCAAATTTTTTTTGTTAGAGAGCTGTGTTCAGAGGCTATTAGATCCTAGATTTTCGAATTTTCATCTCTCTTCGTGTTGAAGAAATGGCGATTGTTTTAGTTCTTATCCGACTGCACATTGGCAACTTGATTATATTTTTATTTTTATTCGGTTTTCAAACAGCTGGTATTTGGAAGAAAGTTGTAAATGTATATAATGGACATGTTCCGTCATCGCTTACAATTTGCCTTTTGTTTGAGGAATTCCAAACAAGAGAGTTCAGTTTGAAAGATGCCAACGGCCTAGTGAGTCTGATCTTCATCAATTGCTAAAAACCGGGGAGGTGCATCCATTTCAAACCATTTGTAAAATGTCACAGGCATTGTCCTCTAGTCAACCAAGTATTGTGGCCGGATCGAAGTCTCTTGGCAAAGACAAAATCTGGGTTGATTCGTACACCGTGTTTATCCGGACTACAATATGTTTCGTCATGTAGACAAATATGTTTCGTCATGTAGACGGTATGTTTCACCTATCATTTCTTCGCACGTTCAAATGGCTGGATGATGTCATTACAGTAGATGATAAGTGCGTAAGTTACTCTGTCAATGTGCGGAAGGGTCAGTTGATTGCCAAGAAATAGCTTGCTCTGGACGTCCAAGAACCTAAATTTTCCTTAAAAATAGGTATGCTATGAGTTTGATGGTCGGTCAAAGTAACGGACACTGGGAAGTTTTAGTTGAAAGTACCACTATAACTGCCACCTTGTGTAGTTCATAATTAGAAGATATGAACTTGACAGTCTAATCAAAAGAGGAGAAAAAACCAAAGTTTGCTTCCAGTGCGGCAATGCGAGATCGCTTGTGAATAGAGGGATCAGCCATAAATTCATGACCTTTGGCTGAATTGTTATTTTGCACTCATCGTATTCTCCGGACTTTGCCCTTCAGGAAAAGTAATATTTTGGAGCTCTTAAACGTCATCTTGATAGAGAATACTTTAAGTGAAAAGATGGCACAAAAAAGGAGTAGTCCCACTATTTCAATCGCAGCCCTCCTCGTTTTGGGCCGATGGAATCAAGAAATAACCGGAGCGTTGCCAGACAACTATTGATGCTAATGGACGTTACTTTCATTGATCTAGCTCCCTCCGCATTGAGAAAAATTTAATCAAAAGTTTTGCCAAAAAAGAAAGAAACTTTCTTATCAACCTAATAAATCAGCGATGTAAATCGAATCAGTCATGTTTATTAAAGATTTTTTAATATCAAGTTTGTGAAACAGTAATTAACAAATCGCACCATACACAGTACCGACCAAAATTTTATTAAATTCAGCTATTATTAGTTGAAAATGACCGACTCTACATGTCTAAAAAACTAGGTTGATTTTGTTGAATCAGACTAAAACTTTCAGAGTGTACTAAACAAAAGTAGAGCTTCAATTTCATAGTTGACAACTTTTTAGTAAGTTCAATCCAACGAGATGCACTGCTTGAAACCAATCAAGTGCCAAAATTTCCAGAAATATCACTGAATTCCGAGTAATGAAAGTTTTAGGCGGTATATCTCATTTCAATGAATCTGTTATAATATTTCAATAGTCCAATGTTACAGGAATGGAGACTAAAATGCAGAATCCATCATAAAAAATTCAGGTTTAACAATAGTATGTTTGGAAAAGAATTTGTGAACTACAAAACTAACTTCCTGTTTTTATTGGGTTCACCATAAACCTGTAATAGAAGCCCCTCACACTGTCAACTTTGAGCTTAATTATCTCAGTTCCTAAGCAAGATATCAAAAATCTGTCAACTGATAAAATGCGTGCGATATTATGATGAACAATTTCCGTTGACAACTTTTTGATATCTTTGAAAAAAATCGAGAAAAATTGGCTTAAAATTAAAGGTGGGGGACATGAAAAAAAAAATGTTCTCGAAATTCCGTTCAAAGATGCCCCTCGAGGAGTTGAACTTGTGAGGGCGATGATTGAGGGTGCGGCGCCGCTACCGACTGAGCCACGCGGGCAAAGAGAGAGCGCACGCCCGATTGCATACATAAAGGCGAGGACGACAGCTGTACGCAGCGTGACATTAAGCGTTGTACACCGTGACGGTAGAATGCATACTCTAGCTACAAAAAAACTACGAAAAATCTCCTGTCCCCCCACCTTTAAAAGTTAGAAGGCCCTTCTATCACAAATTTTGTATAAAAACGCATCAGACAAAATCCAATACTTTTGTGATTGACAAAAGTTGAGTATTGTTTTCCAAAAATCACTGTTTCAAATACTCGTTTTCAAACTCTCTGTATTTTTTCAACATTATTGACTTCTTTTCAGTACACTTACGTAACATGTCCCTTTGGACATCTCTTATCACATAGCTCTCCGTGCCATCCATCACGACAATTGCACTTTCCATTCTCGAGTTTTCCCTCATTCAAGCACGATTTGACGACATCGCAGTTCTCTCCAGAATAATGATTACCACAGATGCAGTGATCTCCGTTGTTACGGTATCTGTGCTGTTGAGTTGGAATTGTCTTTCGCCAGCAGGCCAAACGTTCACAGAATCTTCCGTCCCATGGTGGTGGACAGATACACTCGATTTCCTTCTTTCCAACAGCGATAGTTCCGTTGTGATGGCACATGTGTGGGGTGCATCTGAAATCATATAAATTGAAGTTTTTTTATTCGAAAAATTGAAATTTGGGATAATCAAACTTGGTATCTAACAGTGCTCTAGTGTCCCAATTGATCGTCAATCCTTTGAGCTCAACTATCTCGGTTCCTAAAAGAGATATCGAAACTCTGTCTACCGATAAAATATTGGTGATATTAAGACAAACATTTTATCAGTTAACAGATTTTCAATACCTCTAATAAAGTCCGATACAATTGAGCTCAAAGTGAAAGAAAAGGGTTTCGTTCTCCTAGAGGTCTACAGTAAATTTCAAAATTATTTCGGATGAATTTTATGTTGAAAAGAAGGCAAGCCCAATAGAATTGTAGGAATAAAAATATTATATTTTGAGAACCAGAGAAACGGTGAAAATTATGTTCAAAAATCGCTGATTCAGAAGGTTATAATTTTTGAAAGCGAATTTCTGAATATGATGGGTTAATAAGGTTAATTTTTCAAGCAAATTCTTCCCCAACGTTCAGCCTTTTATGTTGATATTAGTGTGGATTAGATAAATTTCAGGTTTTCGAAGGGAACTTTCGTTTTGAAAATTCTCAGAAATTATACAAATTTTAGAAAAACTTCGAATTAAAATTTCAAAATTTTTCCAATTTTCAGTTTCAGATAACCATTAATTCCAATTTTTTAACATTTGAACATTATTTTCATTCCTACACCTTCTGTAATTTTTGCCAACCCCTAAACATCCCTCAAAATCTACTCTCCTCTTGCAAAAATCATCCACAGGTGGATAAAATAAGATACACGAAGCAAATAGATGGGGGAAAAGTCGGCAAAATCCGGTGTTTCTTTTCTCTTTTTTTCTCATTTTCGCCACAATCACCACCTCTTCGTCTTCATCCTTACACATGTATGTTGTATGCCCATCTATCCAGATAATTTCCCGTTCCCCAATTCTCTCTCTCCATTCTCAGGTGGACACATTGAATAAATGAAACAGTTTGTGGATCTATCTGGAGGAGATCAAAGCATAGACAAAAAGCGAAAATGAGGAGCAGTTGTTGAACATGGTTTTTTCGTCGTAGGGAATTAGTTCGATTGCTAATCGTTCAGGATTTTTTTTGGGAAGGAAGTGGAGAAAGGGAACAATAAGAGAGCTAATTTAGGAAGATGGAAAGTTTTCCGTTTCAAGTTGATCGTAAACATAGCATCTTTGTTTTTAAAAAAGTTCGCTCCACTACTTCAGGATCTTTTTTCAAAATCGATTAGAACTTATAGAAAATTCTGGCTTTAATAAAACAAACTTTCCATTTTGAGCCAATTTATCTCGGTCCCTGTTAAAGGTATTGAAAAATGAAAAAAGAATAAAATTTAATTTGTGTTATAATAAATGTTTTGTTAGTGGACCACTTTTCGAGACCTTTTCCCAGGAAGATGAATTGGCGTAAAGGACACAGTCAGGGGGCCCTTTTATAACAGGTTTTAC